GACAAGCAGCGTGGCAGGTGGGGGGCAGGCAGAGGCTGGGTCGGCCCAGAGGGGTGGACCCCACACGCACTCGGTTGGCGTGTGCCAGGTTGGCCAAGAGACACTCTGGTCTGGTCGGGCACTCGACCTCAACCACAGGGACGGGGAGGTTTCTTGTTCCCAGCGGCTTGGTGCAGCCCAGAGAGCAGGGTAAGCTGACGCAAGAAGAAGTCATGGCGTTGGGCTGAGGCTGCACAGGAGTTTCAGAACAGCTGGGAAGGCCGAGCCACAGGATCTGAGAACCTCCTCGCCTCCCGGCCCTTTTATACCCATCCCAGGTGGGTGTTGGTGCAAACGCTTTGACCTCACTGCCTCGATTATCTACCTGTTTTTGTGCCATCAGCCTGTTACTCAGCTATTGGGTTTACCATTAAACGTTGCTCACCTCATTAAAGGAAGGTTGATGAATCCAAGGTGCCTCTTGACTCTTTGATATCAGGTTGGCTGTTGGTGGGAGGTCAGAGATTCATTATTTCTACTCAACAAACACCAGCAGTTAATCCAGGCCCCACATGTCCTCTCTGTCGACTGGGCTGGTCTCCGTGGACACAGCCACAGTGAAGGGTCAAATCTTCCCGTCAATGATTCGTGTAGCAGGAGAGACAGAAAACCCCTGAGATCCACTGGCCCTCTCACCTGTGCAAGACTCAACCAGCCTTTGCTCCAAAGAGAAAATATGATTATAAAGCTGGTGGGTCTACTGATATTTGATTATTGAGAGACCCCATTTCTTCTTTCTTCTGTCTTTTGTATTGCATACACCCCTCAAAGAGCAAGAAGCATCAATGCATCCAGAAATACCCGTGCTAATCATCTGTTCATTCTGTCATTCATTTATTGGTTCTGCGTGTCTCCTGAACACCCCCCATAACTCAAACAGTGTATGGGTTCCTGGACATGAAATGTTTGCTGTTCTTCAGGAGGAAACAGTGCCAAAGAAATCTTGGGGTGTTTTACACTGACTTGAATGAGAACCATAGATCAGCGAGGGTTCGTGGAAGACAAGGGACTATAGCACTGATCAAAGAAGTATTAGAGAGAAGCTACTAGCAAACAAATAAGACAAACCAAAAAAAAAAAAAAATCCTTGTTTGATCCAGGAAAGGAAAATTGGGCACAGAGCTCAAGCAATATTCAAATGAAAGGTCGAGGACTAATATTTACTGGGTATTCTGCTATGTCCTGTCCTATTTAATCCTTACCACCTGTGAGGTAGTTCCAGCCTCGCAGCACAGATGAGGAAACTAGAGTAAAGTACATTTTCTGATTGACAGAATTCATGAACTGACAAAGGATTGATTCAGTCTCGTGTCTGCAGAATCCATTCTATTTTTTTTTTTTTTTTTGTGATAGGGTCTCGCTCTGTCACCCAGGCTAGAGTGTAGTGGCATCATCATAGCTCACTGCAACCTCAAACTCCTGGGCTCAAGCAATCCTCCTGCCTCAGCCTCCCAAGTAGCTGGGCCTACAGGCATATGCCACCACGGTCAGCTTATTTTTTTATTTCCTGTAGAGATGGGGTCTCACTATGCTGCTCAGTCTGGTATCAAAGTCCTGGGCTCAAGCGATTCTCCTGCCTCAGCCTCCCAAAGTGCTAGGATTATAGGCGTGAGCCACCATGCCCAAGAGCCCATTCTCTTTCCACTTCACCAATGAGAACAGCCTATGTCATTTCCTCTGTCACTGCTGGGCCTGGGAAGAGGGAAAAACATTTAGTTATTAGGCAAGAAATTGAAGTGAAAAGAAATAAAATTACTGAAGGTCCTTGTGTGCCAGCAACGGCAGATATTTGAATACTGAGACAGCGAGGACAATAAAATGCAATGGAAAAGTTATGCTCAAAGATGGGAGTTTGGACTATAGTCTTTCATTGCTTAACAACGGGGATACGTTCTGTGAAATGCGTTGTTAGGCAATTTTGTTGTTGTGCAAACATCATAGACTATACTCACACAAACCTAGATGGTATAGCTTTCCATACACCTGGGCTATACAGTGTAGCCTACTGCTCCTGGGCTACAAACCTGTACCACATATTACTGTTCTCAATACTGTAAGAAACTGTAACACAGTGGTAAGTATTTGTCTATCTAAACATAGAAAAAGTAATGTGTTGTGCTACGATGTTACAATAGCTATGACATCAGTAGATGGTAGGAATTTTTCACCTCTATTATTATCTATGGGACCACCATGGCATATGTGGTCTGTTGTTGACAGAAGCAGCATTCCACCATGCATGACTGTATACCCCAAGTCCCAGAGACTTTCAGTCGAGCTGGGGAACAAGTCAGCCAATGGCTATGTGGCCAGGAATCATCCCCCAAAGTGGCAGAAGAAAAATAGAGGGACCTAAAGACTGAGGAAGATCCAATGGGATAAGACTCTAAAAGAGCATAAATAGATCTTTGCTCCGAGAAAAGTTCAAGAACAAGCATCCCCATGAAAACCAAATGGGAGTCAGGGAATGTGAGTGTTGGTGAAACCTGGGCTCTTAGAATTCTCTCTGGAAGAAATAAAAGGTTCTGGAATTCTTCCCAAGAAGAAAACTCGCTCTGGGTCAGCTGTGGCTCTGCCAGTGGCCCTGAGGTTAGCGATGAATAATTCTTTACTGGGGCAAACTTTAGAGGCCCTCTTCCTGCCAGGCCATCCTTCAGAGGCATCTGGGTAAAATCTGCATGTGTTCCATCTTCAAAGACCCGTTTATGTCTCTCTTCCACCTCGTCATATAGCATCACTATAATCTAGAGAATTGGGCCATTAAAATTGTTTCCTTTGATTTGCTAAATAGGATCCCTCTTTGACCCTGTCCTCTAGCAGGATTTGTCCCATTGGCTAATGGTTCTTTCTAACTTAGAACATGTGACGCTTGTTACCTCTTAAGCATCACTACTGAAGCTTTGCATTTGGGGCTGACACCCCTCTCTAAAGTTTGATTTGTGGTCCTAGCTTGGGCTCTGTGTGGTCCATTTTGCATAATGACACTGACGCTGCCTACTCCTTTGTAAAGCAATGGGCTCTGTTGATTTTCTTTTGTCTCAAAGGAACTGGCAGTAAGTGGAAGGCAAGTGGCAGGTGTTTGAGATGCACTCAGCTGTGTGGGGGAGGAGAAGCCCATCCCAGACATCCCAGACTGCCTCCTCTTGCTCCCCTTTAAAAGGAGTTCCTGGTCCCTGAGAACAACATATGAGCCAAGCTGTATGAAGGGTAGGACTGGAGACAAGAGAGAGGAGAAAGGTAGTCCTACAGGCCCCCTTCGTCCACAGGGGCCACCTCCTCTCTCAGGAGCACAGGTTTTCAGCTGCCATCTCTCTGCAAAGGTGCATTAAATACAAAGGAGAAAAGTACACCTGTGTGAACTCAAAAGTGAATGATTTAGGAATCTGGGGATATATGAAATTCTGAATAAGTCGTGGTAGAACTATTTATTTGGCCTACTTCATGGATTTTGTGCAGTAAAATAGGGAAATGTTGACAATGCTGTTTCATTTTGTTCATTAAAAATCTAATGCTATTAAACACCCTCATTCTGAAACATTCTTAAGGTCAAGTCTATCCCTGAGCATTTGTATTTCTCAGCTCAAGAGTTGCCTTCGGTCGGGCACGGTGGCCCACGCCTGTAATCCTAGCACTCTGGGAGGTTGAGGTGGGAAGATTGCTTGAGGTCAGGAGTTCAAGACCAGCCTGAGCAAGAGCAAGACCCCGCCACTACTGAAAATAGAAAAAGTTAGCCGGGCAACTAAAAATAGAAACAAAGAATTAGTGGGGCATGGTGGCCAGCACCTGTAATCCCAGCTACTAGGGAGGTTGAGGCAGGAGGATCACTTGAGCCCAGGAGTTTGAGGTTGCTGTGAATTAGGCTGATGCCACTGCATTCTAGCCCGGGCAACAGAGCGAGACTCTGTCTCAGAAAACAAAAATAATAATAAGAAGAAGAGTTGCCTTCAAGTGAAAGCTTCCTCCAACTTCACTGGGCATTCAGTCAGTTCCTCTTCTCCACTCACATTGAATCTTAATGTATCTCGAATGTAGCCCTCTTCATAAATAAACTCTGTTGGCAGTGTACTTGGAAGCCCCTTGGAAGCAGGGATTTTGTGTTATTGCTTTTGTCTTGTTCGTCTCTGTAATGCCCAATAGTACCTGACATGAAGGAAGCATTTGATCAATAAAAACAGGAAAGAAATGATCAAATGAGCGGGAGCAAATCACACTCAGTATTTTCCTCCATGGATGTAGTCCCCAACCCTCAGGACACAGACCCGTACTAGTCCATCACCTCTTAGGAACTGGGCAAGCAAGCGAAGCTTCATCTGTATTTACAGCCGCTCCCCATCACTTGCATCACTGCCTGATCTCTGCCTCCTGTGAGATCAGCAGCGGCATTAGATTCTCATAGGAGCACGAACCCTACTGTAAACTGTGCATGTGAAGGATCTAGGTTGCACGCTCCTTATGAGAACCTAATGTCTGATGATCTGAGGTGAAGCTGAGATGGTGATGCTAGTGCTGGGGAGCAGCTGCAAATGTAATAAATGTAATGTGCTTGAATCATCCCAAAACCATCCCCCACCCCAGTCCATGGAAAAATTATCTTCCATGAAACCAGTCCCTGGTGCCAAAGAAGACTGGGGACCACTGCTCCCTGGTATCTTGTACATAGTGAGGCTTAGTCAATATGTGCTGAATGAATGAATGCAGGTGTGCATGAATAAATAGACATGGTATGAAGCCAAACCATAGCACGTTATGCCAATCATACAAAATCCTTGACTTCTAAACCCTGTGGTCCTAATCAATTCAAAATTAGGGTAAGATTTGTTTTTATTTGAGAATATATTAATATTTATATGAAAAGTCCTACAGAGCATTCAAAACTAGATATCATTTAATTCTGCATTTAACCCATGTCTTTGATGAAAGAATAGAATTATTTAAGGTGGCCATCTGGTAACCTTGTAGCCACTACTGCTTCACCCCACCATTCACCCAGGCAGCCTCTGGAAACAGCAGCACCAGCTGGTTTGGATTTACAGCACTGGCAAGAACTCTTCTCTGCTAAGACATATGCTCCCCTCCAGAGTCACTCTTTGCCCTTTTTCAGATACTGATATTGGCCCAGGAAATGTTCAACATAGACAAGGCATTTAGCAAGAGTTAGGCAGCAATGAGCTAGGAGCAGAATAGCTGAGCTATTTTTCCAATGAGCCAGTAACCACATTCAGAAATCAGGACCCCAAATGAACATAATCTGCATTGCCTCTAAGTCTCCAAAATGAAGATCTGCAGGAATCGTAATGGCCCTTAGAATTACTGCGTGCCCTACAGGGCTGAGGTGTGTTCTCCCATCCCTTTAGCCCTGGTGAACCCAAAGTGGAAAAAGGAAACAAGGCCACCATGCAATTGGGTCCCCTCTCCTTGGATGGACTCAAGGTCAGGGAGTTGCTAAGAAGGCTTGGCCCCTCAAAGCCAAGTTCTCTCATCCTTTGGATTCACACAGATACTCTAATACAGTTTGCTCTGGGAAGCAAGTGATTAAGTGCACCATATTGTTTCTGATTCAATTTAGTTGCTAGAGGAAATTAATTTGCCGACCTAGAGGAAGAAGCCTGAGGTCATGGATGGCCATTGAACCTGGCCAGTGTCGCTCAACCCCTGCACTCCTAACTAACTAACCATTATACAATATTGGCCCCACATGAGGGGTTTCTTGGTTTTCAGAGGTTTTTCATTTCTGTTATCTCACTTAGCATTCATGTCAGATCTGGGATGTAAGTAGAAAAGATAACACTATCCCCATTTTATAACAGAAAAAAATACTGAGGCTTAGACACATGATGATTCTAAAGTCCCACAAGTCAGAGACAAAGTCAAGACTAGAAGCATTTGTTCTTTCAACAGATATTTATTAAGCATCTGCTCTGTACCAAGCAGTGGGCTAGGCTCTGGGGATGCAGCAACAAACAATCGCTAATCTTGAGTAAGCATTTTAATAGGGGAAATAATGTATACATAAGCAAATTTCAGCTGTTGGGAGATACTAATGAATAAGACAGAGTGTGTCGGGGTGTCTGATGGTCAAGCCGGAGCTCTCAGGGGATGGGACATTTCAACTGACCTGAATAGCAACAAGGAGGGAGGAGGAGCAGGGCCAGGCTCCTGGCACCTGCAAGGAACAGAAAGGCCAGCGTGACTGTATTGTGGTAAGGAAGGAGGAGAGTGGGAAGAGAAGAGGTGGAAGCATAGAGGGTATGCAAGCATAGAAATTTTGAAAACATTGTAATGACATCTTTTCCATTGCCTTAAATCATCATGCCCCGTAGCTCTCCACCCATCGAATAGATGGTTCCAAAACTTCCAAAGAAAGTACTAGAAAGGATAAAGTCATTGTTCAAATTTTACTGTAAAATTGGAGGAGAAGGGTTATAACCAGATAAGTCTTGAGAGTTAGAATTTATAGAGGAAAAAAAAGAGATTTCTTAATCTGAAAGTTCCCTTCACTTAGCAAGAAGCTATGTAAGCTGTATTTAAGAGGCTGGGTTGTTGTAGAAGAAGCAAGTCTGGTCCTTTGTCAAAGATAGGAACCCCGAGTAGACAGAACTCAGAATTTGGTACAAGGGAAGTTTCCACTTAACCAACTTCCAAGGCAGGGAGACAGAAGGAAAGGCAAAGGGAGGCAGAAGAGGAATGGTCAGTTGTTTGACTCTGGTTCTATTTCCCCCTGGAGATGTTACAAACCATCCAATGAATGTGGGGAATTCCAGACAGTGACATTTGTTCCTCATTTCCCTTGTCACAAACTATAAAAATTTCAAGTTAAAATGGGTGTCCTTGAAATGCAAATGCAGCCTTAAGTCATGCCCTATTCCCACCCGAAAATGCATCTTCAACCTAATTCCCATCCCGAAGTCTCTCCAGTGCAGATATTCTGAGCCACCATGGGCGGTTGGAATCCAGCCACCGAGAGCACAGAGCTCCTCTGGGAAGGCCAGGAGCTGGGAAGGAAAGATTCCCATCAGGATTCCACTGTTCCCGGCCTCTTGTAGCCTTTGACAGTCCTGTGCATTCAGAAAGTCAGCGATAGTCAGAAGCCGGGTTTACTAAACATGTAACAAGCATTTCTCTTTGGGTACCACCTAGCCTTAACCAGCCCCTGCCGGTCCACAGGTATTCAGAATCGGCTCCCGGTGCCGGCTCCACAGACTGATCCAGGCCCACAGACGGTGCGGGGGGCACAGCTCGGACGAGGAGCACAAGACGCAGCCACACAGGAGGGCGGGGTGGAGCACGGATTGCAGGGGAGCCTGCAGAGAGGTAGCAAGGTGAGCAGAGTTAGGGGTGGGAAGTGAATGGAGCCTCAGTAATATGGGGCACTTAAGGAAGGGGTTCCCCCTCCAAAACACCAGGACATGGACCCAGCTGATGCCCACGGCCTCTAGTGTCTACTGAGAACCTCTAGGGCAAGGTGGTCTCTAAAATGCCTTCCAGAATTAAAGTTTTCTAGGTAAGAGTCAGGTTCCATCCCATAGGGTAGAAATTACTAGGAAGAATTTAAGAAAGGAAAAGCAAGTCCAAAAACCTGCGGGATCTATAGTCACATCTGCTGTTTAAGGAACAACCACGTTTCTGCTCTCACCAGCCAATGGCTGTGCCCAGCAGCCCCAGTAGAGACCTGGCAAATGTCCTCTAAGTGGACAGTCATTCCCCTCACACTCTGTCAACTGCACAGAGACGCACAGTAAGACAGGGCAGTGCCTCGCTGCAAAGGAGTAACCAGAGCCTGTTCTATGTAGACACAGCCCTTATGTTGCCCTGACCTCATGAGCACTGGGTAAATGATTTAGCCAGGAACTGCCAGGATCACACATACTTGCAGTCCTCGCACTCCAGAAGTTTCCGGTACGTGTTGATCTCATCCTCCAGCCGGGCCTTGATGTCCAGCAGCACCTGGTACTCCTGGTTCTGCCGCTCCAGGTCGGCCCGGATCTCAGACAGCTGCTCCTCCACGTTGCTGATGAGGCTCTGCATCTGGGCCAGCTCCGTGCCATAGCGGTCCTCGGCCTCGCACAGGGAGTTCTGCAGGCAGTCCTTCTGCGGTGGGAAATTGGAGGGGTAAGAGACCCAAGCCCTCCATGGAAACTGCTACATGTACCATATTGTAATGATGCTAACAATGGCCACCATTGCTGCAATATGAAAACTCACCCAGCACAGGGCACATTCCAGGAACTCATACCCTAGAGCACTCAGTAAACCAAGCTGACTGTGAACAAGACTTTTCCTGGACTAGCACTGCCACCAAAGCTCAACTGGCTACGTATCATCCATCCCTATACACCCAACACCTAACAGAAAGTTGCAACTCAATACATTTTTGCACACTGAATGCCAATCCTAAAATATTTTTCATTTTTTAAGGTGTGTTTCTGGGTTTGACCTGATCTTGACAATAATACAAAAAAGAACTTGACATTGAATGGGTTTGCAGATGGGAGGACCTGGGGAGTGAGACCTCCAAAATAAAATACTACCTGCCCAGGGAGTGTGGCGACTGCAGTGCACTGAGGGTGAGGGGGACACGTACCAGGGTGTGCTGGGCTTGGCGCTCCACCTCCAGGGCGTTCACCGTGCATCTCAGCTCCAGGATCTCCGACTGGCAGCACTGCAGCTCCTCCGAGCAGGACATGGCCTGCAGGCTGATGCCTTCAGACTGGGGCACAAGTGCACAGACAGACACAGTCACCTCCCTGCCCAGATGGAGCCCAGTTCCTCCTGCTGGGCAGCCCTTCCCTCACCTGGGCTTGGAACCACTGCTCCACGTCCTGGCGGTTGGTCTCCACCATGGCCTCGTACTGGCACCGCATCTCCCCCAGCACCCTGCCA